CCACCACCTAGGGATGCTTCCAGTCAAATATGGTTGATATCCACCTCTTAGTTCCAGAGAAGAAGTTGCTTAATGCAATATTGCAAAATTGACCCCTTTTTGCCCGCCTCTCAGCCCCCTGGGGGCTCAGCCCCACCATTTGTATAATTTTGAATCCCCACCACCTAGGGATGCTTCCAGTCAAATATGGTTGATATCCACCTCTTAGTTCCAGAGAAGAAGTTGCTTAATGCAATATTGCAAAATTGACCCCTTTTTGCCCGCCTCTCAGCCCCCTGGGGGCTCAGCCCCACCATTTGTATAATTTTGAATCCCCACCACCTAGGGATGCTTCCAGTCAAATATGGTTGATATCCACCTCTTAGTTCCAGAGAAGAAGTTGCTTAAAGCAATATTGCAAAATTGACCCCTTTTTGCCCCGCCTCTCAGCCCCCTGGGGGATCAGCCCAACCATTTGTAAAATTTTGAATCCCCACCACCTAGAGATGCTTCCAGTCAAATATTGTCGATATCCATGGCATAGATCTACAGAAGAAGTCGTTTGTAGCAATATAGCCCCCTTTTGGCCCCGCCCCTCAGCCCCTGGGGGGTCAGCCCAACCATTTGTACAATTTTGAATCTCCACCACCTAGGGATGCTTTCAGTCAAATATGGTTGATATCCATCTCTCAGTTTCAGAGAAGAAGTCGCTGAAAGCAAAAAATAGCCAAATTGTCCCCTTTTTGCCCCGCCCCTCAGCCCCCTGGATGGTCAGCCCCATCATTTGTACAATTTTGAATCCCCACCACCTAGGGATGCTTTCAGTTAAATATGGTTGATATCCATCACTCAGTTCCAGAGAAGAAGTCGCTGAAAGCAGTAAATAGCCAAATTGTTCCCTTTTTGCCCCGCATCTCAGCCTCCTGGAGGGTCAGCCCCATCATTTGTACAAGTTTGAATCCCCACCACCTAGGGATGCTTCCAGTCAAATATGGTTGATATCCACTTCTTAGTGCCAGAGAAGAAGTCGCTTAAAGCAATATAGCCAAATTGACCCCTTTTGGCCCCGCCCCTAAGCCCCCTGGGGGGTTAGCCCCACCATTTGTACAATTTTGAATCCACACCACCTAGGGATGCTTCCAGTCAAATTTAGTTGAATTTCAATCAGTGGTTAAGAAGAAGTTGTTTAAAGAAATTGTTGACGTATAGACGGACGGACAGACGACGGACGCAACGGTATGGCATAAGCTCACCTTGGTCCTTCGAACCAGGTGAGCTAATAATAGGGATAACTGAAATACAGCTAAACCTGTATAAAGAGACAACCCTAGATCAGTCCAAAGAGTGGTCTCTTAACACAGGTGGTATCTTAATACAGGCTTAATTCACTACAATGGGGAACATTTAAAGAGATATCTTGTGGTCTCACAGCACAGGTTTAATTCACTGCAAAAGGGAACATTTAAAGAGATCTCTTAACACAGGTGGTCTCTTAATATAGGTTTAATTCACAACAATGGGGAACATTTAAAGAGATCTCTTAGCAGAGTTGGTCTCTTAATAAAGGTGATTGCAGGAGCAGAGCTGACTGTATTACACCAAATGTAAATACATGTACACTACATACAGTTATAATCACCACATAAACTGGTTATACAGACTTCTCCTGAACACCTACTTAGTATCGTTGGAAGAACCTGGTGCATTAGTATAGTTGACGATAGCATTAAATGACTGATTGGTCCACTGCCAGAACACAACTGCTGCTGGACTTCTGCAATGACAAAATCAAACAAGTATTTTTATAATGGTTTATTATTAGTCTTAAAGATCCCTGTACCACTACCAAAAACTGCAAAGTTCTAATAGTCTTCCAACCAAGCATGCTTCTGGCAAAATATCATTACCCTGGACCTTTCGGTCTTACAGAACAAGTCATTTAAAGATTTAAACATATATTGACCACTGTGACCTTGAATATGGAAGAAGGTCATTCATTTTAACAAAATTGATAGTCCTTCATCCCAACATGTTAATGGCCAAATATCATCTGTGACCTTTGGACTTTTGCTTATTGAGAAGAAGTTGTTTAAAGGTTTTAAACATATTTGACCCATGTGACCTTGGATATATGTCAAGGTCATTTATTTTAACAAACTTGGTAGCCCTTTATCCCAGCATGCTACTGGCTAAAATATCATCACCCTGTGCATTTCGGTTTTTCAGAAGATGTTGTTTAAAGTTTTTAACATATTTGACCCCTGTGACCTTGAAAATAGGTGAAAGTCATTTATTTGAACCAACTCTGTAGCCCTTCTTTCCAGTTTACCTCCGGCCAAATATCAACACCCTAGGCCTCTTGGTTATTAAGAAGAAGTTGTTTCAAGTAAAATATTGACACCGGACGACAGACAGGTGAGCTAAAATGTTCTGGGCCTTTAGGATTAATGTGAAAGAGTAAAAAGAGTACAAACATCAGAAAAAGTTTACATATACCTGTAAAATGTTACCATGCATCCACATAGAACCATGCCTCCCGGGACCTGGAAAGACATCCTCCCTATAACATTTTGCAGAACACCTGTGTCCGGGTGGAAAGCGGATAGTGTCGCCTGTTGGGCTCGTCTATAGTCTGGCACAGTCACTCCATGTGGTAGGCTGTGGTTTTTACTGAAATTATAACAACATCTTGCCTGCATTATGTCAAATATTTATTATGATTTCACTTGAGAATGTATTCAATGGATTTTATACAACAACTTTTCTGAGTTAAATATAGACAATTGAATTAGTCTATATAGACTTTCATTCAGAGCTGTTCTAGATAAGTTTTCATTTCAATAACTTAGTGACTGTTAGGATCAATACAAATATGAGGCATTTTTATGTGTATTTGAACTTTATTCACTTTCATTTTCAAGTTTGCTTTGGTTGCCAAGTTAAGGCTACTAAGTAACTTTTACTGACAATGCAATCACTGAATTATACCTATAATATTACAATAATGAAATCACTGAATTATACCTATAATATTCCACTATATCTTTATACTGATATAGGGTTTTTGTTGGGGTCAACGTCAGGCGAGTGTCAGTGATCCAAGCATAGTAGCGAAGTCTTCCTTGAAATTTGGACAGGTCCCATATAGGTTCATTCAAATTAACCTTTGATTCAGATGTCATCTTTGCCAGCATAACATGTAAAGAATAAAAACAATACATACAATGAGTAAAAGAAAGCAAATAATTATGGCAACTGACCAATCTAAATATTCCTTCAAATATCTGAACATCCATTTAGATATAATAGTGCATCTGGTAGTTAAGTTTAAATACAAATTTTATCTTTATTATTTCATTTAAAATCAGCACAATGTACAAAACCCGATCATAAAGTTGAAATGAATTACAATGTATTACCTCCGTCACTACAGGTTTTATAAAATATCTAAATTATTTAATATTACATACACTTTCAACAAAACAATTCCACATAAATCATATCTCACAATGCATCATACAGGAAACACAATCAGGATATAACTTGCATTACAATGTATTACCTCCGTCACTACAGGTTTTATAAAATATTTAAATTATTTAATATTACATACACTTTAAACAAAACTATTCCACATAAATCATATCTCACAATGCATCATACAGGAAACACAAGCAGGATAAAACATACATTACAATGTATTACCTCCGTCACTACAGGTTTTATAAAATATTTAAATTATTTAATATTACATACACTTTCAACAAAACTACTCCACATAAATCATATCTCACAATGCATCATACAGGAAACACAAGCAGGACATAACTTGCATAACAATGTATTACCTCTGTCACTACAGGTTTTATAAAATATTTAAATTATTTAATATTACATGCACAATGCATCATACAGGAAACACAAGCAGGATAAAACTTACATTCTGTTTGTGAAAAATTACCCCAGTGGTAGTCTTACCTAACCTTTACAACAGCCTAGCTGTTCCTTTATGAATTGGGAAAATATAGCATTATTTGTATTGAAATTGGTAATATATTCCTCAGTTTTTGGTCTTTTTGGGAGAATAAGGGACTTTTTAGCTAGGGGAAACTAAACAGAGTGTATTCGTCAGTAAAACTGAGCAAAATAAATCACTGTACCCTGAATTAGAAATGTTTGAAATCTGAGCATTTGCAAAAAAAACACCTATAAATAAAAACAAGAGATCCCAGAGGGATCATCTTCACTGGTGCCCACCATTGTACCATCTTCATTAGTTCTTTGTCATTTCGATCTTTTCTCTTCTTTTCTCTAATCTTATTGATCGAGTCATGTTAACAGTACCTTGAGGTAATATTTGATCTAAACTTAATACTGATGTATCATGTGTATGTGTGCCCGCTGTTTAGGTCTCGCCTATTTCATATTATGAAAAAATAACACCCATTTTTACTCCAAGTGTTTAAAAGAAATTTATGTGTTTTTATTTCACTTTATTTTCCATCTGAGTAATAAAATTGTTACTGCAAATGGTTAACTGTTACCCAAATACAGGATTATTACCCATATCATATGCGCCGTTGTGCCCAACCTATTTAGCTTACTCTATAGTAGGCCTATTATATATGTAGGCAAGAATTTGAAGATATAGTTTCATATTGGCAATCTGGTTCATAAAACGTAGTAATGTAATACACTCCATTGTTGATATATCAAATATCCCGGGGCTGACAACTTAGCATTACCTGTACATGTATATATTACCAGAGACGTATAATACTGTAGTGTAGAGGTCACCGTCACTCTGCAGCCGTCATCGTGCTACTACTTCTAGCAGACAGCACGTTTTGGTCATTACCTTTTTTCATTCCCTGTTATTTCTTATATTCAAACAGATGAGGAAAACTCTTTAGATGTGCTAATTTCACATATGGAATTATAAATAATTAGCTGTTTTTGATTCAACTAAAATAAACAACGATTCTTACCTTCTATGACGAGTTTCTTCTAACTCGAGCACCTGCAAAACTAATGGAGTTCTTCTACATTTGGAGACAAAATTATATGAACTTCCGCTTTCAAAATGAGGCACTGACGTCACGCGTAGTTACATAGCGAAGCCGTAGATCTCCATTCAAGAAAATGGTAAGGCATAATCGTAAAATTTAACCAGCTCATCAATTATTTTGATAGCATACATAAGTTCATAACGGAAACTGTATGGAATGTGTTTAGTGGGTTCTGTTTTGTCCCCTTGATCACATTTATTTATTATTTCATTGGAATCAAAATTCATGTCCAGTCCGGCAATGCAATCGCCAATGATTGAAAGACTGCCAAATTGTGACCAAATTATGTCGATAACAGCTACCATGTGTGTTTTTTCATATACTCACTCCTACCATTTACTGACCCCTTGTTAATTCATCAATGCTCGATACAGCGAATATCTGAGTATTACATCATTTTTGGTGATCATACTATCAACATTAATTATCGTCACGAACTTACAACGTTAATATCGTTTGTGTTTTTCTTGCAATTTATTTCCCATTTCAGTCACAAAATTGTAACCGCATCAAGTAAACAGTATCTGTTACACAAATGCAGGATTATATCCATATGAAGGGTTGTGTCCAACGTGGTAATCATCATATCATCTTTATGTATTCTTGAACTCTGAATATGGTAACAGGTTGTTTCGCCCTAAATCGTGTTCACACTAAGTGTTGTTTTGCCCTAAATCCTGTTCGCCCTAGGTTGTTTCACCCAAAACAAAAATCAATTTAAACGCTAGCTAATATATAATATTTAAATATATCGGCTAAACGTATTGATAACTTTCTACATTAGTGTAGGTATATTTCATGTAGAAAAATATGAAAATTTGTGAGTGCAGAGTCAGCTTTTCACAGCTGCTGTTTGTCACACTCGCTCAAAAACAACACAACCACATTTATTTTTATAAAATTGATTTTAATGATATGGAAGACTTAATTTGTGACTTAAAACTACTAAAATTGAATGAAATATTCCAACAATGTTTCACCCTAAAATTTTTGTTTTAGGGTGAAACAACCTAAGGCGAATGGGATTTCGGGCGAAACAACCCTGAACACTGAATATTATGGCAGATTTTAATTGTATACAGGATAACGATCACCTTAATTCAAGCTTCGTGCTAAAGGGAATTCACGTATTTCACTTTAGCTCAGGGGTAGAGCGCCTGACTAGGAAATCTGGGATCACAGGTATCCCTAGTGATTTCAAGCATGCGTTAATGCTGTAATAGTACTACTGTACATGTATTCCCAAAAATATAAGAAGTTTGACTGAAACGCTGGTCTCTGGAGACCAACAACAAACTTTTTAAGATACAACCGAAACTTAAAACATCTATTCCCAGTCGGAAAGATCGTAGAGAGGAAGTTGTCCTCGCTCGGCTCCGCACTGGGCACACATATCCTACTCATTCGTACCTTTTAAAACGAGAAGATATACCTTCATGCCACGCATGTGACACTCCATTTACAGTGGAGCATTTTTTAATAGAATGTTCCGATTTTAAACACATTCGTGATAACTACTTCCGAGTCCCGGATATGAAAACACTTTTCAGTTCCGTGGATTCGAAGGCATTATTTAACTATTTGAAAGACATCGGTCTATTTTATAGACTCTGATGTCTTTTAACCAACCTTATCATTTTTGACGTTATATACATATCGCATATTCCATATCATCTATTCGTTATCTCTTTTATTATTTTAACTACCTTTTATTATTTTTTATTATCTACACATACAATGCGAATACTTTTAAACTGAACCATTTTATCTGATTTTATCTTCGCTATTCACATGTTTGTTAAAAAAGTAAAATAGATAAATAAATCACCATGGCCCTAAATGACCACAGCCGTCGATGGGCCGTTAAACATAAACAAACAAACAAACAAACAAGTTTGACTTGGCAAGATTTACTTTAACACTTTTGACAAGCACTTTTCACAGTTGGCACAAGAATATCTGATACGCAAGAAATGGTAGAGCTCTCATGTTGATGGTTATAAAATTGAACACTGTTTCATATGTAAAACAAATATCGTTATTGGCATACCTGCCAACCCGGCCTCCCTATTTAGGAGGGAGAATCATGATTTCGGACCCATAAATTTCGCATTTTCAACAGACAAATTTACTAAACTGTTCCTATATTTTAAAATCTAACGAATCTATCTGAAAGAACAATTCAATAAATGTTTTTCAAAGGGTTATTTTTGACAAAAAAAATGACAACCTAAACTTGTCCACACTGTTGGAATTACTTCTTTGCCCCATATATATATGTACATGTACATACACACATGATATTTAGGTTTAAATTTTGAGCATGCATAATCTTCCCCATGGACATTTCAAACAGTTGGCAAGTATGTATTGCATTCTAATAACAACTTCTCTACATAGGAAAAGGTTATAAGACATTGAATGTGAATGTTTATGTCAGCCTGAGTGATATAGAGAAGCATAGTTTTAACTTGTGTATTTCATAAGTTTACATTTGCTTTACACATGTATCTGACAACAAAAAATTAAAGCTACCAGGGAATAATTTGGTTCACACAATGCACTTGACAGCAGCCTAGGACTACTTTTTCTTTTAAACCGCGTGAGTCTATACATGTTTCAGTATGTTTGCATTTCCGTACCTACAAATGTGATGTTTTGGACATTTTTTAATCTTTGTAAATTAAGGAAACATCTATCATTTTCTAACTTACTTTTAAACTCATATCCTTTTTCACCTTTTATCTCAAACTTGATTTTTATATACAATCTAACCACTGGCAAATGAAAGTAAGGCAGTCCTATTTGTTGTGCCTCTTAATTAATGTATCATTATTTATGGGAGTCTCCCAACTTAATGAGACGGACCTAATTCAATTTTAAACAGCTCTGCCGAAAAAAAGTCAACCAGCAGCCTCCGGCTCTTATGGTACATGTATATATAGTTATAGGAGTATATGTACTAGAACAAGTCATTCCGAGCTGATCCTTTAACTGGTATCGGAGCCTGAGGTGTAGGAAATTAAACACTGATTTTTATCAAAATGCTTTTTTTTGTGCAGGGTTTACTGAGTCTACTGAGGAAGCTGAAAAGTTCCAAATCAGAAGAGTTAAGAATCTTGCTTCTTGGATTAGACAATTCTGGCAAGACAACACTACTTAAGCAGTTGGCAAACGAAGGGCAAGAACTCAAGAATGTTGCCCCAACACAGGTAAAGTGTGGAATCAAATCTCTCCATACAGGTATTCTTTCAAGAAGGAGTTTCTTCATGATCAGTTAGATATATATTTTTACTGAAAACAAAAGCAATTTGCCTGCTGAAGCTTTTTGGTAATCTTGTAAACAGAAGGGATATAAAAACTTATCTGATGAGTTCTGCAATATAAAGCTTAAGAGTCATTTGCTTAAAAGCAGCCAAGGAGTGAGGTTGTCATTGTGCATTTTAGACACTGGGTAAGTGCAGGTTTTGATATAACGAGTCTTTGACTTTAAGACAGAGAAAGGGTGATATGGTCATTTTGCATTTCTGTTATGTTCAGTTTCATTAAAAAGGAAATGTTGTTGATGTTACTTATAATTTACAATGACCGAATCTATATGCACAAAAAAATAATGACTTCATGATACTACATTAGACATTGACAGCGATCTGTAATATACAATGTTGTTTATTACATCTGTAGACCTCACTGTAAACATTTGTGAAATTTTCAAGGTAATCTGTTTCTTCATCAAGACGCATGCATTTAACAATTACATATTATAAAATACAACTACCAGGTTAGTATTGCTCTGTGACACCTTTTCTTAAGCACACCAACATACCCTGTCTCCTGCATACACACACGCAAGCACATATACACTACACACATGGAGGCACGTCCTTAAATGACCTTAGCTGTAAAAATGACGTTAAACAAAATTAAACCAAACCAAACTAAAATATCTTACAGGATGATTGATTTGAAATTGTAACTTTTATTCCCACAGGGTTTCAATATTAAATCGGTTCAAGCAGCAGGTTTTCAGCTAAACGTATGGGATATAGGAGGACAAAGGAGAATTAGACCCTACTGGAGGAATTACTTCGACAATACAGATGTATTAGTAAGTCATACAATAAAAAGTCAATTGTATATAGATGGGCGGATTGGTCGAGTGGTTAACACTTCGGCTTTCCCCGCAGACAGCAGGGGTTCGATCCTCGAAGTCGTCGTACGCATGGAATATCAGAGAAAGTGTTTTTCTCCTGCCCACACAACTCCAACTACCCAGGTGGAGTATAAAATGGTCTGGGGTGGATGTTGCGGTATCTGTGCTGTAGTATTCAAGTGAGGTGGCACTATAAAAGATGCCTTTGGAAGCACGGTCCCATTACAAAACAGAACACAATACATCTCCAGCACACACACAGGCATACAGACATAGGGAGATATTAGCCAGGTGGCATATGACTAGTAGTAAGCACCTGATAAGGCAGCTCCTGCAAATTCCTCAAAATTGAATTAATTAATGAAGGGCAAGTGAGCTTATGCCATGGTCCGGCATCATCCTCCGTCTGTCCGGCGTCAACTTTTTAATTTAAACAACTTCTTCTCAGTAACCAAAAGGTCTAGGATAATGATATTTGGCCAGAAGCATACTGGAATCAAGGGCTACCAAGTTTGTTCAAATAAATGACCTTGACCCACTTTCAAGGTCACAGGGGTCAAACATATTAAAATCTTCAAACAACTTCTCAATAACCAAAAAACCCAGAGTACTGATATTGGGCCTGTAGCATGCTGGGATGAAGGGCTACCAAGTTTGTTCAAATGAATGACCTTGATCCACTTTCAAGGTCACTGGGGTCAGATGTCTTAAAATCTTTGAATGACTTCTTCTCAATAATCAAAAAGCCCAGGGTACTGATAAAGTGGCTGTAGCATGCTGGGAATGAGGGCTACCAAGTTTGTTCAAATGAATGACCTTGATTCACTTTCAAGGTCACTGGGGTCAGATGCTTAAACTCTTCAAACGACTTCTTCTCAATAACCAAAAGGCCCAGGGTACTGATATTGGGCCTGTAGCATGCTGGGATGAAGGACTATCAACTTTGTTAAAATGAATGACCTTGACCAACTTTCAAGGTCACAGGGGTCAAATGTCGTAAAATCTTCAAACAACTTCTTCTCAATAACCAAAAGGCCCAGGGTACTGATATTGGGCCTGTAGCATGATGGGATGAAGGGCTACCAAGTTTGTCTAAATGAATGACTTTGACCAACTTTCAAAGTCAAAGGGGTCAAATGTCAAAAAATCGTCCAACGACTTCTTCTCAATAACCAAAAGGCTCAGGGTACTGATATTGGGCTTGTAGCATGCTGGGATGAAGGGCTACCAAGTTTGTTCAAATGAATGACCTTGACCAACTTTCAAGGTCACTGGGGTCAAATGTCTTAAAATCTTAAAACGACTTCTTCTCAATAACCAAAAGGCCCATGTCCTGATATTGAGCCTGTAGCATGCTGGGATGAAGGGCTACCAAGTTTGTTCAAATGAATGACCTTGACCCAGTTTCAAGGTCACTGGGGTCAGATGTTTTAAAATCTGACTTCTTCTCAATAACCAAAAGGCCCAGGGTACTGATATTGGGCCTATAGCATTCTGGGATGAAGGATTATCAAGTTTGTAAAAATGAATGACCTTGACCCACTTTCAAGGTCACAGGGGTCAAATGTCTTAAATCTTCAAAAAAACTTCTTCTCAATAACCAAAAGGCCCAGGTCCTGATATTGAGCCTGTAGCATGATGGGATGAAGGACTACCAAGTTTGTTAAAATGAATGACCTTGACCCACTTTCAAGGTCACAGGGGTCAAATGTCTTAAATCTTCAAAAAAACTTCTTCTCAATAACCAAAAGGCCCAGGGAACTGATGTTGGGCCTGTAGCATGATGGGATGAAGGGCTACCAAGTTTGTTCAAATGAATGACCTTGACCCAGTTTCAAGGTCACTGGGGTCAGATGTTTTAAAATCTTCAAACAACTTCTTCTCAATAACCAAAAGGCCCAGGGTTCTGATATTGGGCCTGTAACATGCTGGGATGAAGGACTACCAAGTTTGTTCAAATGAATGACCTTGACCAACTTTCAAGGTGACAGGTGTTAAATGTCTTAAAATCTTCAAACAACTTCTTCTCAATAACCAAAAGGCCCAGGGTACTGATATTGGGCCTGTATTTCAACCTAATGTCTTTGTTTGACATTCAAGGTCACAGGCGTCATATGTTTAAATCTTTAATAGGTTCTTATGAACCAAACACTGATATTCTGCCTGTAGCTGTTACTTTTAGTCCACTTTTACGATTACAAGTGTGAGATTAATACCAGGTGAGCGATGCAGGCACATTGGGCCTCTTGTATTGTTACACGTGACTGCCGACTGACCAGGTAATCAGCTGTATGGTTGTGTAAACCTGATATACCACCAAACTCGTTAAACCACCAAAATCACATAGGACAGCAGGTGGCTGTATAATGAGGTTTTACTGTATGTACTTAAGGTATATTGTTATATAGCTATATATATTTTATCAGATTATCTAAAGACCTCTGTCCTAATTCAGACAAAACACTAGATAATTCCAATGGTTTTTTTTGTACATATAGTCTCCTTTTAGTTTCATTTTGTGTTTATATTTAACTATATACAAATAGCACTACTTGGCCTGGAGGCTTATTGATCTGAGTTGTCATTACATTTGATATTAAATACTAGTCACATAATACTATACATGTAATTTGTGTTTGTGTTTGAATGTCTTTTTGAATAAACTCATTCACCCCTGAAATTTCATAATGAACTATTCCAACCTTTGAACTGGAAGAGTTCAAATGTGTCTTCAGGGGTGAATGAGTTATAAGTTGTATCTTAACACATGGCCTTTATAATATTTCTTTTGTAGATATATGTAATAGACAGCAGTGACAGAAAACGACTGGATGAAAGTGGAACTGTGAGTATTTGAATCTAGAAAATTCAAAAGTATTTCTATTACCTTCAAATCTGAAACCCACCATATCAAATATCGACTTTATTTATTTTACAACAATTATGAAACAAGTTATTTCAACTTATATTAATCACTCTTGTTGGCCAGGATGTTAGCGCGTGGGGGTATTAGTGTGGGAGGAAACCGGAGTGCCCGGAGAAAACCCACATGGTCGGGCAGGTGACCCCAACCTTTTCACGTCCGAGCGGGGAATCGAACCCCGACCGCCTTGGTGAAAGGCAAGTGCGCTATCCACTGCACCACCCGGCCACCCGAAACCCACCATCAGATGAGGGATTGTTCAAATCACCCTTTGATTATGTCCATGGTCATGGATAGGGGTGTAATGATTCACTGATGCATCAATGTATTGGATCGCAAGGGCCGCGATACGATGCATCGATGTGGCAAGACTGTGTCGTGATACCTGCCATACTTTTCATTTTGTACTCTCCATTGTTGGAACTCTTCAAAGAAAAAATAGTTTTAGCACTCAACAAGCCAAAATGGTGGACCGAGAATGTGACAAGAAATATGTCAAGGCGTTTGCACATTTCAAGTCGTCTATTTCGCAATGGTTCACTTTCAATAAGTTTCATATCTTCTAAATCCAAAGAAAATGTATTTGAGACGGACAATGAACGTTGAAGAAAACTGGAATATGCGGAAAACGTGCACACGTATATGACTCATCAATACTTCGATCTTTAGGTGCCAGTTCGAAGTAAAACTCACGTTACACGTCCATAACATTAAACAGGAATGCCTTAAACCAAATCAGTCAGGGGAATAAACCCGAAATGTTTTAGTTTTTCGTAAAATACCAATTACGACCACTATTGATAAATGTTGCCGATGCTCTTCGTCCGTTTTCATTTGTTGAAAATGATGTTTTTAGGGTATTAATTAACACTCAAGATCCTTAATATTCACTTATATTCGTATCGCAACCCAAGTATCATGATGCGTATCGTATCGTAGCATCACTCACGATATACACCCCTAGTCATGGATATATACAGGCCTTTTTTTATGACTGAATATGGGTCCATTCATCTCTCAAATTTTGGCATTATTTTCCTCCATTTCAGCTTTATTTTCCCCTATTTCAATTAAAAATTCCCCCACTTGTATCGAAAATACTACTACATGAATATCTGTCTTTGGTCCATTTTGTTTTTATTTTCTGTCAGTTCGGCGACTGAGTGATTTATTTCATTTTCTCTGTATTCATGTTATGACTGTCGATATTTAAGAAACTTTTTACAGCTGGCCCTGTTTACGGTATACAATATCATAACAGCCACACAAGCCTTTTATTATGTCAACTGAGACAAAGTCTCAAGTGACCTATTGCGATTGCTTTTCGTCCGTCCGTAACCAATTTACATTTTCAACTTTTTCTCCAAAACCCCTGAACCAATTTCAATGAAATATGCAGAAACTTTCCAAGGCCAAAGGTCAACTATAATTGTGAATTATATGGTCCCCAGCCCCATGGCACATCCATAAATGACCTTAGCTGTTAATAGGACGTTAAACAAAATTAAACCAAACCTCAGTAATGAGGGTGAATTTATCATTACAGCGAACATTTGTAAACAACATAATATATACATAGTAATTACATGTGAAGGATGAAATTAACACTGGGCAAAACAATTGATTTCATGGTCAAAGGGTAAAAGTTTGACTGGGCAAAAGTGTCCCCGTATATATATATACAGTTTATATATATGATGAAGAGAAGAATTGAAAGTCATGTTCTATGTTCCAGGAACTGGAGGAGTTGCTTGAAGAAGAGAAACTGAGAGGTGTTCCTGTGTTGATATTTGCAAATAAACAAGATTTGTCTAATAGTTGTAATGCTGATGAAATCAGTAGAAACTTATGTCTTACAACAATAAGGGACAGGACATGGCATATCCAACCTTGTTCTGCCAAGACTGAAGAAGGTGTAAAGGTAAGTTGTTTTTAGCTCACCTGGTCCGAAGGACCAAGGTGAGCTTATGCCATACCGTAGCGTCGGTCGTCCGTCCGTACGTCAACAATTCCTTTAAACGACTTCTTTTTCCTAACCACTGATTGGAATTTAACTAAATTTGACTGGAAGCATCCCTAGGTGTTGGGAATTTAAAATTGTACAATTGGTTGGGCTGACCCCCAAGGGGACTGAGGGGCGAGGCCAAAAGGGGGCAATTTTGCTATATTGCTTTAATCGACTTCTTCTCATGAACCAAGTGAAGGATATCAACCATATTTGACTGGAAGCATCCCTAGGTGGTGGGGATTCAAAATTGTACAAATGGTTGGGATGACCCCGCAGGGGGCTGAGGGGCGGGGCCAAATAGGGGCAATTTGGCTATATTGCTACAAACGACTTCTTCTGTAGAACTATGCACTGGATATCAATCATATTTGATCAAAAGCATTCATTGGAGGCAGGGATTCAAAATTGTACAGATGGTGGGGCTGACCCCCCAGGGGGCTGAGGGGCGGGGCCAAATATGGGCAATTTGGCTATATTGCTACAAACGACTTCTTCTGTAGAACTATGCACTGGATATCAACCATATTTAATTGGAAGCATCCCTAGGTGGTGGGGATTCAAAATTGTACAAATGGTGGGGCTGACCCCCCAGGGGGCTGAGGGGCGGAGCCATAAAAAAGGGTTATTTGGCTATATTGCTTTAAGCATTTTATTCTGTAGAACTATGCACTGGATATCAACCATACTTGATTGGAAGCATCCCTAGGTAGTGGGGATTCAAAATTGTACAAATGGTGGGGCTCACCCCCCAGGGGGCCGAGGGGCGGGGCCATAAAAAAGGGTTATTTGGCTATATTACTTTAAGCGTTTTATTCTGTAGAACTATGCACTGGATATCAACCATACTTGAATGGAAGCATCCCTAGGTAGTGGGGATTCAAAATTGTACAAATGGTGGGGCTGACCCACCCGGGGGCTGAGGGGCGGGGCCAAATATGGGCAATTTGGCTATATTGCTATAAACGAAACCAACTTTCCTGTTACTCTCTGGATATCAATCATATTTGATCAAGAGCATTCATGGGAGGCAGTGATTCAAAATTGTACAAATGGTGGGTCTGACCCACCCGGGGGCTGAGGGGCGGGGCCAAAAAGGGTTATTTGGCTTTGTAGCTTTAAGCGACTTCTTCTCTGGAACTTAGTGATAGATATCAACCATATATGACTGGAAGCATCCCTAGATGGTGGGGATTCAAACTTGTACAAATGGTGGGGCTGAGGGCGGGGCCAAAATGGGGCTATATTGCTATAAACGACTTCTTCTGTAGAACTATGCCATGGATATCGATCATATTTGGTTGGAAGCATCCATGGGAGGCAGGGATTCAAAATTGTACAAATGGTGGGGCTGATCCCCTGGGTTAAGGGGTGGGGCCAAAAAAAAGTGTATTACTTGGAAATGGTTGAGATCCCCACCATATAACCATATATACAATTGCTGAGTATAAAGAGAAGAATGCACATTTGCTTCTAGGATGGCTCTAGGATCTGGCCCCACCCTTGGAAACATAGTCCCTGGGTCATAAAACGGTTGAGATCCCCACCCCAAAACTATATAAACAAATGCTGGGCATAAAGAGATGAATGCAGTCATGATATTAGAATAGACCCTGGGGTCTGACCGAACTCCTAGGGACCTAGTTTCTTAGTCACAACTTGGAAACAGTTGAGATTCCCACCCTATAACCATACATACAATTGCTGAGTATAAAGAGAAGAATGCACATTTTCTTCTAGGATGCCCTAGGATCTGGCCCCACCCTTGGAGACATAGTCCCTGGGTCATAACTTCAAAACGGTTGAGATCCCCACCCCAAAACTATATATACAAATGCTGGGCATAACGATACGAATGCAGTCATGATATTAGAATAGACCCTGGGGTCTGACCGAACCCCTAGGGACCTAGTTTCTTAGTCACAGCTTGGAAACAGTTGAGATCCCCACCCTATAACCATATATACAATTGCTGATGTAAAGAGATGAATGCACATATGCTTCCAGGATGGCCTTGGCATCTGCCCCACCCTGGGAGACTTAACCCCTGGATCATATCTTTGAAATGGTTGAAATTCCCACCCCAAAACTATATATACAAATGCTGGGCAAAAAGAGACAAATGCAGTCATGATATTAGAATTGATCCTGGGGTCTGGCCACAACCCTAGGGACCTAGTTTCTAAGTCACAGCTTGGAAACAGTTGAAATCCCCACCCCATAACCATACATAAAATTGCGTGGCATGAAAAATCTAATACAGATATGCTACAAGGATTGGCCTTGGGGTCTGACATATTCCCTTGGATCTCATTATAATTGGAGAATCTTTTGCCATGATTGATTGCTTAGATATCCAGGTGAGCGATACAGGCCCTCTGGGCCTCTTGTATATATATCACTTCTTCCTCCTTCAATTATGTTCTTCAATCCATCTGAAAATTCTATATGCCCCCTTTTAATAAGTAGTTATCCAATTGTACTGTGACATTCCAGTGATTTTTGTAGAATTTTTTCAGGCAAATTCTGAGCATGCATTTAAAAAAAAAATGGACGAGTCCCATTTTTAGCTCACCTGCCCGAAGTGATAGTGAGCTTATGTCATGGCGCAGCGTCTGACAACCATCCATCTGTCAAATTTTACTTTACACGACTTCTTCTGAAGAATGGTCAGGCCTTGAGTCATGATATTTAGGTGATAGCTTTGTTGGTTAGAGCCCAACAAAGTTTGAGGGAAAATGACCTTGACCTGCTTTCAAGATCACAGCAGTCAAAAGTGTCAAATACTTAAAATGGCAAGAACTGATAGGTATAGAATCCTAATATGTTACTAGTAGCTTCATTGGTAAAAGCCCAACAAATTTTGAGAACAAAAATGACCTTGACCCACTTTCAAGGTCACAGGGGTCAAATATGTCAAACTTGTCAAACAACTTCTTCTGAATAATCGAAATGCATAGAATCAAATTATTTGGCTGGTTGCTTCTTAGGATTGAGCCCAACAATGTTTGCTACTGAAAATTACCTCAACCTATTTTCAAGGTCACAGGGGCCAAATATGTCAAACACTTCAAATTACTTCTTCTGAATAATCTAAAGGCATATAATTATAATATTTGGCTTGTAACTGTCACAGATAGAGCCTGACAAAGTTGGTTATTGAAAATTACCTCAACCTACTTTCAAGGTCACAGGGGTCAAATATAGCAAATACTGCAAACAGCTTCTTTCGAAGAAGTGAAAGGCATTGAGTCATGATATTTAACAAGCAGCTTCCTTGGATGGAGCCCAACAAAGTTTGTGAATGGAAATGACCTTTACCTACTTTATCCTATTGCTTTATCTTAATCTAATTTGATATAGAGTATTCTTGGCCCCAACATGATTCAATGTTGTAGAAACCATGCCTCCATCCCAATCGGGACAGGAGAATGGGACCCAATAAGGTAAGGGTATTACTGAGATACGTACAGAGCTAAGATTTGGAAATATTTGTAGTACAGTATTATATTTATTTATTATTTTCTATGACTGCTTAAATATCCAGGTGAGTGATGCAGGCCTTCTTGGCCTCTTGTAAAGGTATATAGTGGCCATGGGTTCTCAAATATATTTGTGAATCCCACATAAGAAGCACAAGCCCAGGGCTAATATTCATGAAACCGTTCTCATGTTCAAGCATGGATTCTGTGCTCAAACCAACTTTCCTGTTACTCTCTTAAATCATGTCAAACCATCAAAAAGTCAAATGTAGACATTGAAAACAGTATTTGGCTTTTAAGTCTCTTCAATATTTTTTTCCAAATCATTGACAAAATAAGATTTGCTTATCAATTTATAACCAGAACAAGAATTTGGCTTGAGCACAAATCCATACTTTAGCATTAGAATGGTTTAATGAATGCAGGCCCAGGACTGCAATATCTGAGTTTCAAAAATCTCAGTCTGATTTTTTGCTCTTGCATAATGTATAGTAATTCATGATCAGGGACCCTGCTTTCTTCACACTTTCTGAATATGTTGTTATAACTTTGGAAATCTGTTTTTGTATGAAAGTGGCTTCAACAACACTGGAAAATATTAACATATGACTAAGATGAATAGAATCTATCACTTCAGTGGTAAGTGAACAGAGAAATCGGAGAGATGTTTTGAAGTTTAGCACAGAGCGTTAACAAGTGTTGAGCCTAAAAGTCTTATACCAAGGGTTGAGATTTCTATGTTAGCATTACACGGGAATGATTTTTTGACTCCCACACTTTCTTATCACAAGAAAATGTTGTATTGGTGAACCCAAAACACCAGGCCATCATCAATGACAGATGAAAAGTGTGAAAAAATTGATTAAGAAACCCTAGCTACTTTAGTTTGGTATGCTGCATGAAGTGTTGACGTGATGGTGACATTTTAAAAATAGTTGAGCAGGTGAGCTGTATTTCCCAAGGTGGGTAAACACAGTTTTTTCTCCACTATAAGACTATAAGACTCTTTCATGCTAAGGGGTGGAGGATAGGGAAATTTCGTCCAAGGAGTTTTCAAATTTGGTAAAACCCAAGGCTTACCCTTTGGTTGAGATTTTTCTGTCTTTCCCCCAAGATGAAGAAAGATTATAATATCAATCTTTTCCATAGAAAAACACGAGTGCACCTGTGAATTGTGCGAGAAAGTAAGCTACCCCAACCTAAATGTTCATGCATTCAATTAACAAAACATTTTCGTTACCTTTTACAGGAAGGTATTGCATGGATATCAAGTGCTATCAAGAATAAAAACCAGAAGAAGTAGTTTTAACAGGGAACAGTAATCACACACAAGACATGTTGGATGACCTTGGCGTCAGGGAAATCTTTATACTATATCCTCTTGGACAGGCATGTATCTGTTCAAGTACGCAACATTCTACAAGGTTGGGACCAACGGCTTTTAGATCTTATGATATGGTAATCTTGCTGTTACCACATCTTGCTATTGGGTTTATGAATAACTCAAAGTGAAGCAAGAGCAGCTGACCTTCAAAAGACATTGAATGGTTACAACATATATGTCGCAGAAAGCCACAAGAGGATAACAACACAGCTTATTAGACGGTGCATCCATATCAAATCTTTCTGTTAGCAGTGTATTTGACTTTTTATTGTGGAGTTGGATTATTTGTTATATTTTCATTCCAAAAAATATAAAAAAAAAATCCTGCTGTTTTTTGGTGGTTTTTTTTCTCAATTGCTACTGTACATGTTTTCATAAGACAATGAAAGGTTCCTTTATTGTTTTGTAAAAAAACAATTTGTAGTATTGAAATGTAAATCAAAATTAGCTAATAAGATTTAGTTGTTATGCAATATCTACGTTGATTTTTTTTATATTTGAAATAAATAATTTTTTGAAATAAAGTACATAAAAGTATAAAGAACATGTACATAATGATCTGAAGAAACCATGGTAATTGATGGTTATGTTTCACAATATAGATCACCACACTGTGGATAGTTTATTTCATGAGACTGTTGTGAGTTGGGTAAGCCTGCAATTTCTACTGTTACTGTTAACTTGATGTTCATTATAATTCTAGTTATTTAACCCTTTCACCCCTATGTAACTTTGATAAACTCTACCATGCATTGATCTGGATTTGTCCATTATGGTCAACAATGGTGAAAGGGTTAATAATTTACCAGCAACAGATACTTATCATCACAGAATTTACCAGAATGTTGTAACGTTTTCCGTCCACATCAGCATAAATCACTCTAATATCAATGTATCATGGAAATATATCAATCAGTCATGGAGAAATGTCACCACGATTTATCTGGTGTGATGCTAGCCAGAAACGTAGGTATAATCTCCTTCATTTTAATAAAACAAAAATGATTACTTTGTGTCCTGACATTGTCACATGGAAATTAATGTTAATCATAATATTAAGTTTTCGTAGTTTCTGTGGTTGAAGATCGTTATTAACGGTACTTGGTATAATGATAAAAATAGATCCCTGAAGGATCCCTGTTGCACTGCCAAAAGTTGTCATTATAAATCGGAAACTTTTTTACTGGCATGACAATCATTTTAATAAATCATTTCTAAAAAAAATCTTGTTTATGAAAATATAATAATAAAAATGTATTTTCAATAAATGAGGTGTTCTGAGAGTAAAATTGAAATCGCTCCAGACCAGATTTTGAAACCTTGACCTCTGATGACAATACCGTTGCTTTTACCAACAACGCTTCTTGATCAGTGATTTTAGTTCCGGGGTACTGGTCCCCGGGTACAGTTATATCTGAAACAAAATTAAAGGGAAGTTATAACTCATGTATGAATAATTAGGGGGAATAATATTTTGCCTGCAGCAGGACAGGGATCCTTAACTCTTTCACCCCTGAAGACACATTTGAACTCCTCCAATTCAAAGGTTGGAATAGTTCATTTTGAAATTTCAGGGGTGAATGAGCTAATATTTGATGGTATTCTGTGATCCTCTCGTGTTTGGATTTCAGTTTTTGTCTTTTTGTTATTCCTTTGACTTCATCCAGTGGTATCACAAATTAAAAACAACTATCATTGCAAATGTTTGCAATTTTGAATGTTTTGAAACTGTTATGTCTGTCATCACAATTCAAAATAGCTAGATAAGCGATCTTTATTTAACTTACACTTAAACAATATTCTGTGAAGTTTAAACTGGAGCACAAACAATGTACCTCCACAATTTTTTTGTATTTCGTATTTTTTCCCATTAATTTAATCACAAAACTTACATAATAACACATATGCATTAAATATAACAGAGAAATTACAATATATGGAAGTGTTGCTTTTCATGATTGCATATTTAACAATTGCTAAATCATAGATATATATGTATATATATAAATTAACACGTTAAAATAATCATGAAATCACTATTGCTCTGTAAAGAAAATGTTTAGACTTGATCCTTTTTTGTATCCAACTCTATTTATTTTGTTGATTTGTCCTAGTTAACTATCTGTACATGTGTGTGTGTGTGACTGACTACAGCTATACATGTTACTACTCATTTATTTCAATCATTGTGTTATAACTTCCTTGTCCGTTCTTCTCATCTTCAGTGTGTTAAGTCTGTTTTACCATACATTTTATCTGTGTACAGTAATACCCAGGCATACTTGTACTACATTATTTTACATAAGAATCACTTTAAAAGCATTAGTCATTTTCCAAAAACGAAATTGTTCTGGACAACTATTTTTACAAAAAGATAGGTTAATGATATTGAAACACAATACATTGAAAGAAAGACCTATTCTCAGTTTGTGGGTCAATGTAATTAATTGTAAATTACATTGAAGACTATGCTCCTTTCTGAGTCAGTGTAATTAATTAAAAATGACACTGAAGAAAATGCACCTTTCTTGGTCAGTGTAATTAATTAAAAATGACACTGAAGAAAATGCACCTTTCTTGGTCAGTGTAATTAATTGTAAATTACACTGAAGAGAATGCTCATTTCTTGGTCAGTGTAATTAATTGTAAATTACACTGAAGAGAATACTTCTTTTTGGGTCAGTGTAATTAATTGTAAATTACACAGAAGACGATGCTCTTCGCTCTTTTCTGGGTCAGTGTAATTGATTTTACTGAGGTAATATTACTTTTCTTTCTTGGTCAGTGTTACTCGTTATTATCAATGCTACTTGAGAGGTATGAGGGAAGCAGTGTTATTGATCATGTTGTGGTAAAATGTCCGTCCAATTGTTTACGCTAATAACAACATATCCTTGAACTAGTGTCTTTTCTTAGTTGTAATTATTCTCAATTTTCATGTTATTTAAATGTTTATAATGATATGCAGAAACCACTATGTGCTAGACTTGTAAGCCCTTTCCATCCCTTTGTCTTCACAATTAGGAATTTTGAAGGCCAATAGAAATTTTACAGAGGAAAATGCGAAGGATATTAAAAAGTGCATCTTACAGTTTGGAAGAGAGTTCAATGTAAAAGTAATCGTGATTGTCTCTTTCCTCTTTTTGTTGTGAATCTATTTTATTTGTCAACTTAATATCTGTGTCTAAACATACATTGTATATCAACATATGAATGAATATGACTTTGGTTAGTGATTTCAATTTTGTAGAGTCAGAAATATGAGGTGAATTCCAGTTTCTACCACAAGATCATTGCAGTTTATTCAATAAAAAGCTTTTCACATCTTCAATAAACGTTCTGTGTTCGACAATTAAAAGTTCAGGGTTTGACAAATTTTACATAGAAACATTAAGGTACACAATAGATTTCATCATGTATTTGGAAATTTTCAACCGCAAAAAAAAGAAACATCCAGCAAATCTGTCATTGTCAGAACAAAACATGTATTGATAATTTTTAAGGAAAGTTAATACACAAATTCTCATCTAATGGGTTTTGCAGCAGATGGAGTATTTGGTCAGTTTAATATGCATGATTAGGACGGACTTGTCATTATACAAAATATTGAATTGTTTTGATATATTGATATCTTAATGTGAGATTCCTTTATGTGTAACATTTTATGTAACAAAGAAAATAAAAAATCTTTTCGAGAAGACAACCTTTACATTTGTTTGTTTTGTATTTAGGTAGCTTCCACTTAGGGAAGAGGATGTAGAGTAATCAGCATGGGTGTCTGCAGCGAGGCCATATCAAGTTCTACACAAGAATAGATTTCAGAGGCCAACGATAAAGTTAAAAGGGTCAAAGGTCATGGTCAAAAACCACACTATACCACTTTTGAATTAAAAAAGGTTATGTACGTGGGAAAGCAGGGTGAGGAACATATCTATGTGAGCCTTTGCAAACTTCGTCTATCTTATAATTTATAGTCTTGGATTGTTAATCCCTTGATCAGGAACTATTGGTTGTTTTCTGGTTTGGACATGTACAGTATGCTCTCTTGACAACTGTGTAGAATGTGTATGTGGCAGGTTTGTGGCCTTATAAGGAACAAAATGCAAATTTTATATGTAGGTTCCTCTTGGTCCTTAGCTGTGCAGGGCAACTTTTGAGACTGATCGGATAAACAACATGGCCCACAGGCAGCCGTCTTTGATTTTGATAGTGGAAGTTTGTTATCGCTATTTCTCAAGAAGTATCAGAGGGATCTTTCTCAAATTTTATATGTAGGTTCCTCTTAGTCCTTAGCTGTGCAGGGCAAGTTTTGAGACTGATCGGATAAATAACATGGCCGACAGGCAGCCGTCTTTGATTTTGATAGTGGAAGTTTGTTATCGCTCTTTCTCAAGAAGTATCAGAGGGATCTTTCTCAAATTTTCTATGTAGGTTCCTCTTAGTCCTTAGCTGTGCAGGGCAAGTTTTGAGACTGATCGGAGAAACAACATGGCCGACAGGCAGCCGTCTTGGATTTTGATTGTGAAAGTTTGTTATCGCTATTTCGCAAGAAGTACCAGAGGGATTTTTCTCAAATTTTATATGTAGGTTCCTCTTGGTCCTTAGCTGTGCTGGGCAACTTTTGAGACTGATCGGAGAAACAACATGGCCGACAGGCAGCCGTCTTGGATTTTGATTGTGAAAGTTTGTTATCGTTATTTCTCAAGAAGTATCAGAGGGATCTTTCTCAAATTTTCTATGTAGGTTCCTCTTAGTCCTTAGCTGTGCAGGGCAACTTTTGAAATTGATCGGATAAACAACATATCCGTTGATTTAGATATTAGACATCAAGTCAAAGTGAATGAAGTAAATAATAGATATCATAGATAGTAATGTATATACATAAAGAGAAATAGATTTTAACATGAAAGCATTGATGGTAGTATTACACAATATTCAGAGAGAAGAATGATTACTGGGTAATGTATAATAATTAAATATGTAAACATCTACTCAAGCTTAATTATCCTTAATTAGCTGGAATTGATCAATTATGTCTTGATCTGATATTACAATTTCACCAAGTTTGATATGGCTAAGGGGAGGTAAATCCATATCAGAATTGTTAATATTAACAGTATCATCAACAGAGTTGGAAATAGAAGTAAATACATTATTAATAGCTTCTGCTTTATCCAACGGATGAATCAAAATATCATTACCAACTTAAAGAGGATGAGAAGTTTCTTTTTTATTGGAAAGACCACTTATGGACTTAGCAATACGCCACCACTTACTAGGTGGTATGGTCTTATCTACAAGAGAGTTTTGAAGTTTCCTAAGATATGTATCTTTAGCTTTTCTAATAAGGTCATTTACACTATTTCTCAAAATTCTAAATTTCTGCTAGTCATTTTCTTTATTAGTATGTTTTGCTATTTTATGTAATCTATTCTTTTTCCTTAATCGGGTTCTTATTTCATTAGTCATCCATGGTTTATCATTTGGCTTTATTCTTATTACTTTACATGGAATATACTTTTCAGTAAGCAAGTTTATTTGATATATAAGTATACTATTTATCTCATTTACATTATCATTATGTCCAATTAATGTATTCCAATCAATTGCTAGAAGACATCTATTTATTTCCTCCTAAACGCCAAAGAGGAAAACGGAAAAGTATTTGAAACTAGCACCTCTGATTCTAAACAAGGAAAATGAAGAATTTTTATTTTAGCACAGACTCCATTGGGCCCCACCCTACAGCCCTTGGGGGTACGGATGGCTCAAAATTTACAAAGTATCAAACTGTCAACTTAGGGTTATAATTCCAATCAAGTTATCAACATGTAATATTCAAAGTATCATTTGCCATTATAAACCATAACAAATTTTGCCCCCC